TTAAGAAGCTTGATATGGGACATACTAACATTACCAGTCTCGATGTGAAATATATCACGGAATCAGTGAATCGCATAGGAAATCTATTGGTGAGGATTGGGATTTCGGTAGTTTCGCTAAGATGTGCCATGTACAGCCATGTAATAATGGCATACGACTGAACATTAAGAGGTTCTCACTAACCGGTGAGGATATGGCGGATTTGTTTACAGTCATTCAGTAATCGGAGATATTTAGTAAGTTTGATCGTACAAGACATTCGTGGTCTGACTGGTTCCCTGGATTTATGGACCCGACTTTTACAAAACTTAACGCACCTGAAGGAGTTAAGATTAACTCATTGCTCATTGCAGAGCACAGACATTGAACACCTTGATCGAATGCAGACTGTAGAGTTCCTTAGCCAAGTGGGAAATCTTTCTTTGCAATGCTCTGCAAAAACATGAGCTCCTAGTCTGAAACAAATGAAACAAGTCAGAAGCCTGAAATTGGGCGGTTGGAACTGGCAAAAAAAGATAAGAAACACATATCTGAGGCCTGGGGAAGTGAAGTTGATTTTGAGTCTTCTCAAGATAACTAGATATAAATTCATGTTTTCGCTGAGGTATGTTATGTGATGCGCATGCCCAAGTAGCCTATAAGATGAGCGAGGACGAGTATATGATGCGACTTTGAAGTCATTTGGATCGAGTCAGTCTCCAACTCACGTCTTTGGTTCAAGTAAATTAAAAACCCAAGTCACACGTTATGTAGTTGGAGTCAGAGTCACGGATAAGAGTCACTTTAATTAATCAATTAATCAAACTAACCAAGGCAACGGAGCATTCTATCGAATCCAGTCATTTTGCATGAACGCAGTGTATTACATTACAATCGAAACACGCGCAACAATCTGAGAAATGGCGCAATATTTCTTTCGAAATCAAGGTACCAAAAATATAACAGTGACTAATAGGTAAATATACGCTAAATGAAATTCACGCTAAACTTAACACATTTCTCTTTCCAATATTTTTAGGAGTTTTGGAAATAGTGGTTAGGTTCTGTTCATTAAACGTTTCTCAGACTATATCATTACTAAATCATCAGCTTAATTCGGCAAAATTTTAAAGACCGTCTCTCATGGAGAAGTATTTTGTGGATCCCATAGTTTTTAAGATATCGTTGAAAAGTCTCCTTAAATCAAAACATTGGAAATGGAGGTAAGGGCTAGGTACAGGTCGTGCAAGAATTTATCTTTCTAGACTCTTACAGACACTTGTAGTGCATATCATTCCACTCTTCAGAAATATCTTCAGTTTCTAACAAAGAAAAGTGGACCACTGATAATTCTGGGAAATGGATCGTAAAACATTCTCCGTTCTCTTTCGTACACGGGTCGAATATTTGTTCCCGCTTGATCACAGATTGGACAGTAATGAATATCCAACCTGCATCGACGTTGTAACAATTTCATAGCAGTGTTGTTGAGAGTTTAGTCCAATGCAGGCTCAGTGTAAATGTTATCGTAATAGAATCGTGGACAGCTTAACATTGCTCTGTTGCTTGCCAGAAATGTGAATCGAGAGATTTAACTTAAGTGTTCTTCAAAATAAATTATAAAGACTGTAGATATAAGGCTTGATTTCATACACTCTCTTGAACAACGTACAATTAAGCGCTAAGACCCACACATCAAATCAAATACTATTGGAGGAAATATAAAGGGATTAAAATTAGCAACATACAGTAACAGTGAAAAGAGACTGCGGCTGTTTGAATGAGAACTCAGAGCCTTGTTAGTGAACAGCTTCACATAAATGCTTTCAGCTGAATAAATGTATATATGTGTGTCTAATCATCGGGTCATGTCGCCGCTGCCTTTTTGCAACTCTGGTAATAATTTAACTCAGTATGGAATATATAAGAATATTCATCCGTGGCACAATAAGAGTATGGCATGGAATCAGTTTCGAAGCTCAAGATTTTCCTGAAAATGGTTCATGCTGTTTATAACTTGTACATATCTTCGTGTTACCCAACTTTTTATGAGAAATTGAACTGCAAGTTTGAAGTGTACATATTTTTACCTTTTATATTGTGCCACACGAGTTTATCACAAACATTAATTTTTGTATGCAACTGATTCTAACAAAACTGAGAAAAGTCTCTTGGATTGAAAAGTTTACATACAATTCAATGTGTGTATTTGTTTATTGGACAGAGGCCACCTGATTAATACGGCCGGTATTAAATGTATTGAACTCTTTTGGACAGTACACCAAACTTGAAGCCAGTCCTTTTGGTGCGATAACTGCGCATGTCATGTTTACCTGTGGCTTCACTTCATAAGTTATATAATATAATACTTATATCAGATATTTAATATTGATGATTCCAAATTTGTTTTCTGAAACATTTACTGTTAAAGTTCCACACTTACTGTGAATGTAACAAATTGTGCTGTGTAAGTGCATCTTATGTCACTGCGATGTCGCATTTTCACTTCAGAACATGCCAGATTTTGTTGGGTTAACACCAGGTTTTGTTAGAAATCGATAATAAAGAGAAGTTCACATTGATTATCTAAATTATTATAAGATAAAAAGTTTCTACACAGATTTCAAGGGAGCTATGTCAGGGTTCAAAGTTATTCTTTCTTGGAAGCCGATTAAAACACATATAATATCTGAATACATCACAGTCTTGCTGTAATATTTTTTATTAATCGCTAAACTTCATTCATATTCAAAGTTATTAAGGGAACGAATGATGATGATGATAACTAAATATGAGGCACAAACCACGTCAACGCTTAGTAATGATTGAAAAAACTGCAGATCACGCAAACTCGCTTAGCAAAGTTAGATGGTGTGATGGGCAGTGTTTTTGACTGTTTTAAGCACAAAATACTGGGTATATCGAGTTTAAGTAACACATGTATTGACAAGACAAAAACATTGGAAGTGTACTTTTGACAGTTCTGATTAATTGTTGTACCTTTTCCAGTGGGAAATAATTGTTCTTTTTCCCTTTATATCAGACACGAATGACAAAGTGTATAAAGGATCAATACAGTTTAATACTGAAAATCGTCAACTACAGTGTTAACTTACAGAATTTAATTTGATTACATTTGTTTATCTCCCGAGAGTCAGTGGGAGTTATTGTAACAAAAGGTTTAAGTATTTTAATCAGTTGACGGACATATGTTTGAGGTACGAAATAAAGATGTAATAAATATTTTCTATCCACTTTTCTCATCTTGCTAATTTATACAGTATTTGGTTGATGAAGTGGGGCTGTTTGAACCTTTTGTAAGAAACCATATGTTGTGTTGATTTCTGGTTAAAAATAAAATGCATGACCTGCGCGATTGCAGAAAGTACACCACTTGTCTGATCTGGACATCCCCCCTAGAATCCTTGGCTACCACCTTGTTAAGGTGATATTCACCAGGCTCTACAGACCAAACCTGCTCATTCCCAACTCTATTTACGGAGAACTTATTCACATCTTGCAACAGCTTGAGGGCAAGGTTTCTCATCTAAAAGAAGGATGATTTGGGGACGGTGATCGACCACTAACCTACGCAATTCTCTGCGCACTGCCGCATCAGAAGCCCCCCCCCCCCTCCCCACCGCATAGACTTGGCCAAGTCTGGGTTGCGCTCGGTCTGTGCCTCAATCCACTCACAGCGCATATCGCATACGTCGTTACAGTACATAACGCGCGCCCTCATGCGTCGAATCCGGACCATCATGTTAAAAAGGTACATGTACATGTTATTTTCAAGTGATTCAGCAACCCAAGATACCGACTTAAGGCAATTCCAACTTGAGTCAAGACTAGTCAAGTGATGTTGCTGCATATGCATAGAGATGGTGTTGTATATGCATTGATGAATACAGGCGCGTGCACGCGAGGGGGGTGCTGATGGCAGATTGATCAAGTCGGAATTGCTAACTTTTGCACCACATGTGATCGACCACTAACCTACCTGATTCTCTGCGCACTGCCGCATTAGTAGCCCCCCCCCCCCCCCCCCGCACAAACTGTTCTTTCAGGGCCCCCTCTCGATGTTGGGACAAGGCTTCCTTTTCTTTTGGAACAGTGGCTACGGCCTCCATCCGATCATACCATCAGATGATGGATCTACTGAAATCAGTCAAACTCTGTATGTAACGCTCTCACATGCCCCCCCCCCCCCCCCCCGCCGGGCGCGATATTTTTTATTACACAACTATCTGGGGTACCTTATGCGCTTTCCTATGGGGCATGGTTACAATAAACAGGCTGGAGTGGAGACTACTGTTTTTCAACTCGGTACGGATTTCGGACTTCATTTCCCTTTTTAAAAAAAATCCTCAAGAGCCTCGGATCAGAAAAGAAAAAGGAAATTGCTGCTTTACAAGTTGTATCCGACTGAAAAATAACGTTTCTACGATAAAACTTTGTCTTGTTGAAAAAAGAGCAAAATCTGACAGGGCAGGGTCGGGATTCGATCTCGAGACCCCTGATCATTAGCTAGCCTGCATAACCACTAGGCAACGGCGGTGCTCGGCAATATCTCGCAATTCTTAAATTATATACTTTCGCACACGTGGAGAGGGTATACGCCCGCGCGCGTAGGTAAAATGTTACAGGATTGTACGCGGCGCTCTACAATCCTATAGCGTTGATTCAAGTCGCCTGAAAATTGGTCACCCAGTACTATTGTGTAGATAAAATATTCGCCCGCCGGGCTGCATAATCATGAATACACCATATTCATATTATATGATTTTATATGGAGCATATCCTTATTTGAATTTGGAGCCTCACGGTTGCCACGCGCGTGATCGTCTCTGCGCGTTTGGCATCGAATGCGCTTTGCGCGGGCGTTACCAGTTCTATGTCTTTTAATTTGATATCTATGGTCTATGGGCGTTACACGTTCACTCACGCAGTCGAGTCAAAAAGTTTAAACTAAGAGATGCACTGAAGCTGGTGAAAGGACTGGTTTCAACTTGAAAAACACAATGAAAAGCATCCTAATGCGAAGATCAAAGAGTCAACTGAGACCGAAGGAATGCCATCTTGGAATGCTTCTCGCAAGCATTGTCATCATCTTGTCTACAATCTGCTCTGCCAGTATAATCAATGACAATGAGTTGAACATATTGTCGAGTGAGCTATCTGCTGAAGGTCAGTTGTTTTGTACAAGCATTACATTCACTGTGTGGACTTCCAATAGAGCTATATTATAGCTCTATGGGACTTCCGAATAAAGGAGGTCCACATAAACCAGGTAGCACCGACATTGTGTGGACTTTCCTACGTCCACACAATGTTTCACCCATTCAGGTTTAGACTTAGAGGATTTTTTTTGGGGTTAGGTTTATTCGTGAAACACTAGCCTAAAGGCAATCATAGGAAAGAAAATCGGGTTGAAAGAGTTTTCACAGTCTGAGTAAAATGATTTTTTTTCACAGGTTTTTCTTAACAACACGAAAAGAAAAGAATGTCCACACAACGTATGTAACTGTGTGGGCGTGTGTGTGTGAGTTTGTTTCTGCATTTAATAGTGGACGTTGAACAATAGAGGACATATTGTTAAAAAGGTCCTCAATTTGGATTCGTGTACAAAACATATGAGAGGTCTTCTTACAAACACAAGAGGAACACTTTGTACAAGAGTACAAACAAAAGAGGAACACTTAGGCAACAAAAAAAGTCTCCGGTTTCTGGTATGCGCGCGCGTCGCCGTAGCCCTGCGCGTCGGCAAAATGCAAACGTTTTTTATTCAATAAAAGATTATGTCTCAAAACCGCCAAACTCACTGGTTTGACTGGAATTCTGCTGCAGCACAGTTTTAACGTGTTTTTAGATGAGGGTGTGATCGAGAATAAGCTTTTTGTGCACTCACTGGACTCTCGTACATTTTGCACTAAGTTTAGTCGGGCACCATTTGCAGTCATCAGCAGACATTTGAAGCAAAAAAGTCAGGTAAAAAAAAAAAAGCCGCGTCGCCGCACCACTTTTTGGGCAAGCTCCATACCAGAAACCGGAGACTTTTTTTTTGGCCTTAGGGGTCCCGATTGCAGGCAAATACACACGTGTGTGTGCGTGCTGGGCCCAATTTCATGGCGCTGCTAAGCACACGATTTTCTGCTAACAGAGCCTTCGTCTATTTCACGGAGACCGTAAGCATAGGCACAGCAAAAGGCACGCTCAATTGAGAGGAAAAATTGGCTTAACTAATTAGTGATCTGAGATGCAGGCAAGACTTTTTCTCCCAGAGAGTAGTCAACACTTGAAACGATCTACCAAGTTATGTTGAGAATGCCAAGACCAAAAATTCTTTCAAACATGAGCTCGACGAGTACTGGAAGAGATATGGGGTCATAAAGGCTTATTAAGCCTACTACTTATTCCCATTAAATCGTAAGTGTAAGTTAAGTGTAAGTGACGTAACAATAGAAATCTCCATGCACGCGCGACCGTTAGCACGTCCACGCCGTGAAACAGTGCTTACGGTTAGCAAATTTTTCTGCTATGCTAAACACAACTTTCCTGCTAACTGTTAAGCAGCGCCGTGAAATTGGGCCCTGGTGAGCGGACTGTCAATGGTGCTTTTCAAACCAATTTTTAACTAATGCCAAATCTTTGACAGAATGTCGGAAACTGTTGTCCGTTCTTTACGAGCGTCGGCAGTCACTGCCAGCAAGGAGTCGTCTCCAGCGCACCCGGGACATCACGGGGCGATGTGTGCTGGACCTGGAGCGATGGTTGGACAGCGAGGCCAAGGAGGGTCTAGCGCTCACCGAGCTGGACGAAGCCCTCCGTGACATCGGAAAACCAGCACTCGGTCACCGTGAGCAGTAGAACCTTTCTTTTATTATTTATCATCATCGCTAGCGGTTTCTTTATCGATCATTATGTACGGAAGGTCTTCAATATCACATCAGGTGTCTTTGCCAATCACATCAATGTAGTTGAAAGGTCTTCGTCCTTGGGCTCTTAAGCGTTTCCCTAACCCACGCCTTCAGGGCTTTGCGGTCGCATATAAAAACAATTCCTCAATATAGGATTTAAAGACCCCCCCCCCCCCGCAGTCTGTGATAAGGGAACAGGCCTGAACAAGGCATGCGCAAAGGTATTGATGAGCATTTACATACAGTTTTGCGACAAGAAAATAAAAAAAACATAGCTGGATTGAATTTTGTATTTTCCAGCAATTTTAAAAACTAATTTCGAACGATTTACAGTACAAGCTCTCTATATAAACAAATAATCATTCTTGCAATAGTCCTCCGATAGAAAAGAAAGAAAATAAAACAAAAAGTTATGTGGCGATGGCCAAGTCTTCAGGAGTCGGACTTATGACCCTAACTCAATGAGCCCCTTACCGACTTCCATATAGAACTCTTCTGGGACTCGGTACCCGGCCCACCACACCTCCTTCCCTGTCCATCCATGTAACTCGAAAGTCAGGCACCATAAAGGGAGGAAACGAGGTGGCACCCTAAGCCTTGCTGCCGAGTCAGCAAAAGAACCCCGTACCTATACGCAGATGCCAACCTGGACTTCGCAGACAGTCCCAACTTGTGAGTCAGCTTACCGACCGACCGAGCTAACTGCTGTTGGTAAATGACGACGGGAAATTAATACTCTTAAATGACAAAACCGTGGGCATTAAAAACCGAAAAATTACACCAAGCGGATTCGAACCCCTAACCCTGGGTCCGCTGTCAGACAGCTTAACAACTAGGCTGTTTCAGTAGGTGCTTTTCTCTCTGCGTTTAAAACACAATCTTTATTTCTGCCGTGGGAGAGTTACTTTGTGTTTCATAGCTGCACGAAAGATGCATCAGCATCGTGCTATACACATGAATGCTGTTACGTAACTCTTTTCTACAATCTTCACATGCACCGAACAAATGACTATTCAGAGTCACTACGAGCAATTAACCTTACCAAGCTCGTCTTTATTCCATCTCATCAATTCAGTGTTTCGCGTCGCGCGTCTTACGGCCGGCACTGACATGTCGCGCTGATTGAGAGAAATTCCAGCAAGGTTCCCCTACCTCGTTATATTTATATCAAACTACTGACCCGTTTACAAATATTTACGAGGGAATTTTGTTTGTCTGATTATAAATAAGATCCCTTAAAGCTAAAATTCATCATTAGGAAAATTCATCTTTTCCTTTACTTACGCTAACTCTTGTTACTGATGCCATTTTTACAATGTGGGTGTGTGTGGGTAGGCCTATGTGTAATATGGCACCCTGCGGTATTTTCGTAGGCCCTCCCTCAAGTTTTCGTACTCGTCCCCAAATTTTTAGGCCCTAGAGTTTTCGTAGGCCCTAGGCACAGTGTCTACTGTGGCTAATCCGGGCCTGATGGTTGCAGTGGCCAACAAAGTGAACTCGTCGTTGAGCAACAATACAAAGCGGGCGATCATGGGCGTTAGATCGTAAAATAGGTGGCGCTCTTCATCCCTGCCAATATGACGACGGACACATTGCGTTTGTTGCCGACAGAGGGATTCAAATCTCGGATTCAAATACATTTCTGCGAAAGTAACATTGTTTGCCACGTCTGTTTTTCCCTCCCAAATTTGAGATTCAGTTGTGCTTCTTTTTCTTCTTTTATTCTCCAGAGATCGCAAACGAAGTTTTCGCAGAGAAGACTCACAATCTCCGGGATTTGTTCGGCCAAGATGGGCGTCTAGCGTCCAAAGATATTTTCCAACGACGCCATTATTAACGAGAGCTTCTCCAGAATACATCAGGACATGAATCCTGTGTGGTGAATTGCTATATAAGATTCGACCTGGGCCCTTCGATGTCATAGAAATTTGTCAGCACAGAAACTTAACTATGGAGCTCCCATGGGCTTCGCCAGGATTTTTTCTAGAGGTTGGCAAAGCATATTTGTCCTCCCAAAAAAATCCTGTATTTCTCAACATATTCGCGATTTATCAGTTTTAGAGGGGGCAGGGATATCCCCCCCCCCCCAAACCCATTAAATTTACACCAATATGACTTTGCGCCTATTTTTCTTTATTTTTTTTCTCCTTTTTTTTGGGTCCCCCCCCCCCTGCCCTCGCGACGCCCATGGACGCTCCCTGACGCTTGTGGCGCTGTTCATTGCGTCCAAGCACGGGAAGTATCCTTGACGGCTATTGTTAGCACTTCGTCCAATCACTCTCAATGCAAGATGCTCAATACATGTGTGAACGGATAAGTCCAAGGTGCAATTTCAAAAGTTTGAAGAGGTCAGCATCGGTAGATTTATTTACTGCACCTAGCTGTTGCGGCTTGATTACAATTAACCTATATGAGCTCCGTGCCCTACAAAAGAGGGCGCCCTTTTACCTAACAACGACGTCCCATGGGCAGGACATTTCGCTGGTTGACGCTCACCGTTCCTTGTGTGTGACGCACGAACACCAGGGGATTTTTTCTATTTACACGCAGTGGCCGCGCTTCGCGGCCAATGAATAGCAGTCAGGCAAGATGGCGTCGGTCGGTCACCCCCACGTGTACTTCCTTTGCCAATGAGGGGGTGCTTGTGAACGGAACGGATACAGTATGTTCCCAAAAATGTCCGTCTGACTATTTTTGAAATAACTACAAACCATTAAGTCAATTTTGAACATTTTGTTATTGTGCAGATACTCTTTGTGGCTCACCCAGTATGTATTCCTGTATAGGAATGAGCTTTGTGATTTAATAGCTAGGGCAAAGCTTCGATTGCTATTCATGTATATGGGGTTACCCAGTTATGGGCCCGTCATAAATAATACGTATTTTAAGGAAATTAATATTAAAGTTGAAAATGTAATTCGAACCAGCATATGAAATTAAAGTTACTTCTATTTAAACATGTTACGATTGAGTTTATCTGAATGATTTTTATTTTGAAAAAGGTTGATCCCCAAAGTAGGGTTCACATTTTCAGAAGACAACTATACCTCATAACCGATTTGGGCCTCTCAGTATCCCCAAAACCTATATACATCTCTGTAGCTTTTGAAAATGTAAATAATAGGAAAATTAAGTTGGCAGAGTTTGAAGTCTGCGTTCTAGGACAAATTTAGTGGTGATTTTTTTTTCGGAGGCAATTGCCGTGGTTATTTTTAAATATGTTATCTCAGAGTATCTCATTATCGCAAGCGAGCTTTGCCCATTAGGCGTCTACTTATAGTTCAGGAGTAGGCCTTCGTACCAATCGGTGCGTGGTGCAGGTGCCACTGCAGGTGTTATGATAACTACACTCTCAAAACACTGGTTAAAATTTGGTAGGTTAATTAAAGCTACAGTCCATCAATTGTAATTTGTGCATTTTGTTCGTTTGAAGCAACAAAAGAGTTCAAAATCTAATGAAGGATACTGAGCAACTAACCTGATGAGGTTTCAGCTAAGCTTCAGCTGTACATTCCGAGAAAAACAGCATTCTTAGATCTCAATTTCAAATCAAAAGTTACTGAATCATGTTTTGAATTGTTTTGAATTGCAGCTATACGCGACGTCGCGCACTGATCCGCCGAATTATAACAACCGCGCGCGCGTGTGCGTCGTTCCAATACTTGTGCGCGCTGCGCTGAATAACAAAACGAACTACTAATTTAAATTTTCCTACGGTGCTTCTTAAGAATCACCGTTGAAAAGGCCTTCTTTCGTTGATTACTTCAAAATGACAGCTTCCAAGAAAGAATAATTTCACAGGGAGTTTAGTTCCCTTACTATCTTTCAACCAAGTTTGTTTTTCAACAATAATTACGCCGGTTACTTTTTGGATGGCTGCAAATGATGGACTCTAGCTTTAAAAGAGTTAGTTAACATTTTAACCAACTTGTCATATTTTCCAATTTGACCAATGTTGTGTACATTTCACTCAGCGTTTGGTAAAATAGGTTCATCTTTTAACCAAACCCCTTGCTTTTAGCGATAATGTACTGGGTTCTTTAACGAGCGTTATACAACACACGGGACGTGCGGCTTTACGTTCCATCCGAAGGACGAAGCAATAATGTGTAATTTTTTTTTTCTCCAGAATGCGAAGTAACTTCTGAACTACAACTTCAACAGGTTATAATAATTGTTGGGCTCCTTCTTCAGATTTTAAGTAATGATGCTGCCGAACAAAACAAAATTAACAAGAAGCAAGTGATCCCATGCACCTTTAGCCTTTGGGAGCCAGAAAATGACAGGTTACGATTAATTACTGTTAACCTGTTGCCCTAGCTGCTGATTGCTACTCGAGTTGTTTACATTTGCCGTCACCGCTCGGGCACTTGAACATCACTCCTGAGCTACTGTATTGCTGACAACAACAACTTGATAACCGATCGAATTGCGGTTTTGTTTTGGTACAATGACGCATGATTACAGATTTTTGAGTACACTATAAACTGCGCCCGTTTAGCAGTCCGGCTTTGGAGCAGCGCACTTTTGATAGAGCAAAGGGGTATCTGTGGCGCACAAATTTTCTTTTCAGAACGATGCCCCTAAAGTGACCCTTCATGTTCAAATCATTGCATTGAGCGCTGTTGTAGAACAACAGCAACCCCCCCCCCCAAAAAAAAAAATATATTAATAATGATAAATATTACCCTTGATTGGACATTGGGAGACATCCCATAGACTTGTGCACAATTTTTTTTTTTCAAACTTTAATGTGCCTAACCCAATATTCCCTTGTCCTTTTTCCACGAATTTCGGTATGTTCACTAATGAGACAACGAGCAACAAATATAACTTAATTGCAACATTAAAATTGTGCCTCTAAAGGGGGGCTGTGACATTAGGGAGACATGAAAATGTCTCCCCAATGACCGATGTCTCCCACCGTTAGAAGAAATTACGATAGCGTGTCTCCTTAATGGTACCTTTACACGTATTATAATAATAATAGATAAATAAAATAAACAGTAGACCTCTTTTACGATGATTGTCATTTTTATTTTTTAATTACGTAATTGCTGAGAAGGTCTTAACAATTCTTTTCGCCCAAAACGTTCGGTCAAAGAGCAGTTTGACATAGGGATGGATGTGGTCGTGAATGTCTTCATTCAAACATTTCTCTGGAAATTGTTGCCCCTGACTTAAAATCTTCCCAGTTTCTTTATTGATTGTTAACTAGAATTCCCAACTACATCATCCTTTACCTAACGTAATATTTTGGGGTTTTGTTTTGGGTGTTGGGGGGAGGATAAATTTCAATTCTTTCCAGCACCAAAACTGTCCCGATGCAATAGAGGAAAAAGTTCCAGACATGATTGGTAAAAGAAAAAGATCTGTTTCAAAGTGTATCCCTAAACCACAAACAGCAGCGCATAACTCTTGGGTCAGGACCCGTTCGAACTCGCTCAGGAAGATAAAATTAATAACGTTGCCCTGGTAATACCCGGCTATAATGAGTTCCATATCAAAGGTTACCGGGTCGGGCTGGTGGCTGTGATTACACAGTCAGCTGATAATGCGTAACAAGCCTGCGTGAGTTGGAATTTAGCTGCCATTCTCTCTCACACCAATACTTCTCTGGATCGAGAAGCGAGTTTTCAAACCATGAAGCAACCGGGAGTCAAGCTGTCATTGGTCCCGTTGGTACTTCTCCTTGTCTTGGTAACCCCGCCATCTCAAGCCCAAAATGGTAAGTCAAAATCTTAGTTTTATTTTGGTCTGAAGCAGTAGTGTATGTCAGAAAGATGTTTAAGATATAGGTCTCTGGAAAGAAGGCGACACAAATATAGTGGGCCAGTAAATCGGTACGACCTAATTTTTTGCCTACGCCTGCCAAATCACGATTTGCATGCCCTCAAATTTTACAGTATTTGAGCATATTGTGCGGGCCATGAACTTGAGGGCTTGTATACAAAAAAATAAGGGTGGAAGCCGTGCATAGGACCGCGAGCTTGAATTTCTGCGAAATATGGATAAAATCGGGGTCCTGAAAGCGCTCTATGATGCAATGGAGTGTATGCACCGTTGTTCACAATTGCGGTGGGCGTCAGGACTATTTTTAAGGGGTGATCATTTTCGGATGGAGATTTCTCCCAAAAGTCATCAAATTACCCCCCCCCCCCCCCCCAAAAAAAAAAAGAAAGGAAAAGATGATAAAATTAGTTTTAATTTGATGTGTGTTTCGAACACCTTGGAATGTTGTGAGTATTTTTACTGAATTTTTGAATTTTGGGGCATTTATTATTGGGCTGTATGGCAGTTTATTTACTTGTCTTCAGCCCCCTTATTTACAGGCCAACATTTCAAAATACGAGAGTTAAAGTTTAGATTCTGAGTATTTTTCTAGCCAACCTTGGTGTTCAATTCTTATTTACATTTTTCTTCAACCATTGGCACCCATCACTGAGTGAAATCAGGTGATAAATTCGTACCATAAATCTCAACCAGCACCTATCTATTTTATTTCGAAAAGATAAATCATTCACTAGTTAACTGACGTGACAATGTATATGTAAATGCCTAGCCCTATTCGTGTAGATGTGTCATTTCAAACACTCACAGCTGTTGTGCTGTACTGTTAAAGTGTTACAGTGATGTTATACATGCATTGTATTCTGGGAAGGTTTTTTGTGTGTGTCATTGCAAAATATTCTCTATATTACATATTACTTCTGTTTTTTTCTATCTTAATTGTGAGATAAGTCTCTAAATTGGGATTTTGCTACTCAAAAGAAAACAACACAAAAACATGAGATCAAGGGGATAACTCTGAATGATCTATCTACATCTACATCTACGCTGGTACTAAGTAAAGTCCACTTCTGGATGTTAACGCTGAGGTGAGCCGGGGATCCTTCTATCGAAGGACCCCTGGCTAGGAAAACACTGCGTACTACAGTCTCTTTAGAGCGTTTCGCGTGATTTTTTAGAGCGTAGTCTGTCTTAGGGCCCTGTCACACTTCTGCGTATCCTAATTCCTTATGTGTTGCGCATTGACTTTTTTTTCATACGCAGTCGTATGCACAATACGCACCTCATATGCATCTCTATCGTTTTATGTAAGTTTTATGTACGCAGGCATACGCATGGTACGGCCCAGTACGCTGGATAGTTTTGGGTATGCACAAAACTACGCTGCGTACGCTGTTACGCAGGTCATAAGTTAAAAATACGCAGCGCATCGGTCCCGCATCGGTCGAGCGCGGTACGAGTACGCTATGTGTTTGTGAGGGATAAGCCGTTCATACGCGGCAATACGCTGACCTCCTATATTGGACGTATACATAGCGACGTATTGCACGAATTAGTACCGCTCGTCCTGCGAGCGGGCAGCGCATTGTACTTATTCGTAACTTATGAGAAACGCACAGATGGCGAACTTGCGCACTGCATACGCAACTCATACGCATCTCATACGCAGTGGATGCGCTGAATTTGTTACTTGTTCGCTAGATGTGCGTCGCACATATGTCAAAGTAATCAAAAAATCTCGACGTTTTTGATCGTACGGCTGCGTATTGAAAATTGTTGATAAGGAACTCATAAGGAATTGGGATACGCAAAAGTGTGACAGGGGCTTTAATGACTGATGAGTAGCCTCGCATATTTCTGATTCGTTGTCCGGGGATTTGGGTAAAATCACGGGCGTCGCCAGTTCAACTTGATTGGTGGTGTCAACTAATTTTTCAACAGAATTGAAGATTCCGCAGGAGGATAAACTGGGATTGTTTTCCCCAGAGGTGGGGGAAGGCTGGCTGCGTATTATAAGCATCATTCAACATTCAATTTGTTAGTTAAAATCGTCTTAGTTTAGTATACTACTAATAAGGGAATAAATGTGTGTTTGGGAGGTATTATAACACTCTGTTTAAGACCGGTGGGAGTCTGGATGGGTAATTATCACCCATCCAGACTCCAACCGGTCTTAAACAGAGTGTTTAATACCGACCGAACACATATTTATTCCCATTCATAAATAAATCTTTTCGGTCAAAAAATCTAAACAAACCAAAAACTAGACGTTGCCAACCATTTTGTCCAGCAATTTTACTTCATGTTTTAAGAAACACCCCTCTGACTATTATATTGAATGCCCTTCCTCGACTCTTTACCTTATACGGACATTGGAGTGCGCGTCGCGCGTACTGCGCGATGTCGCGCAAAACGCAGCTGGGCTGATGTAGTGTGAATCTCGGACCATGAAGTACTGATTCACTGGTAGTATTGCGCATGCATATGTGAGGAATGTGAACGTTCAACTAATGAAACGTTAAAAGGCACCGGATTTCATGGGAGTCCAAATTTCATGTGACACTGGAAAAGTGTTTAAGACCAGCTATCCATGTCTTTATCATCCGTTTAAGACCGGCAACGTGACGGGCTCTCGACCAATCGGAATGTGTAAACTGTCTTAGGTATTTGTGAATAGGGATTGTTATGTGGTGATCTTTTGTTTCCTTAATGAAACAAGCCCGATCGGATTTCGGAAGCTGCGGGCCAATGAATATGCGTGTCAAAAGATGAGTAATACGATTGTGCCATGTCATTTCTTGAAGAGTCCTTTGAATGAAAACAAATCAGGGTTCTTACCCCAGTGGCTTCATGATGATCTTTGACCCCAGTTTGGTCATGTTGCATGTTGGGGCTGGGCTACTGATACTTTTGACTAATTTTGGTTGAAATCGGTCGAAATATTTAGGAGCAATCTTTTGTTACTAATTAACTACAGTGAAATCTTGATAAGTCAAACCTCAAGGGAACGGGTTCAAAATTTGACTATAAGTATCGTTTTGAGTTGAGCAGGGTTGTGTAGCATTGTTATAGTACTGAAGGCAATGGATTCTTTGTTTGACTAAACAGTTGTTTTGAATTATCAGAGTTTGGTTTATCGAGATTTCAATGTAACTAACTAACTAATTAACTAACTACCTATTTAAATAACTAACGGAGAGACATGATGATTTGCTGAGCTGCTATCCCGCAGCTAGAAATCCAAAAGCATACAAAATGTCGTCTAGTCATATTTTGTGACTCGTCACGCTTTCAGATTTTGATGTGCGCATCATCCCCAGCGACCCTCCACCCGATAACGCTAACGAGAAGATCGGCCTAGTGGAGGTGTTCTACAGCGGCCAGTGGGGGACCATCTGCGCTGATGACGGTTGGGGGTTCGAGGACGCGGCGGTAGCCTGCCGCCAGGCCCTGGAAGACTTCTCCTTCGTGCTGTACAAGGGTTGGGAACACGACGCCGGCAACGTGTCCGCCACAGTGTGGCTCCGGAACGTCAACTGCACGGGCCACGAGGGGAACTTTGACGAGTGCCGGAGCGAGAACAAGTGGAATCTCCAGGCCTGCCCGACGGGCAAGGCCGCCGGTGTGGCCTGCTACGAAGTCCGTACGTTTCTCTATTCTTTCAGCTTATTTCATTGTTTTATTAATCTATTAAAGTTGATGTATACATGCATTTCAGATGTTGTCTATATAGCACTGCACTAGTTATGACCCTTTTAATGAGATATCGCACAAAAAAAGTCGGCCCACGGCAAGTAGGCCTAACCGAGTCAGGCAATTTACAATCACAGAGCTATATTTCATAAATACTCTATGCTCACAATGCAGTGCGCCACCAAGAGTTTGCCACGGGGATTTCATTAAATTTTTTCCCAATGCACCTAGGAAGATGAACGACAAATTCGCAGCGCAGGACATCTTGAATGTTTCGTTTTACCGATCAGTAGTTTTCGTAAGCGTATGATGCGTATAATGTTTGTCCTTTTCCTTTCTTTTTATCAATATGGTGTTATTTGTAAAGGCGACCGCAATCTACACCAAATTAGCTGAAGTTGTCTACTGACACTCATTCAAATGGGCCATGCATGTTTTTGTCGACCGTGAACTTGAAAAATGTACTCTCAGTGGCAAACACTTTGGTTGCGCACTGCATTGTGAATCGCCCGGATTAATCAATATCAATTTTGAACTACAAGCGTCCCGCTTTTATAGACTGGAATTCAAGCCGGTAAGTGGCCGGGTTTAGTCCAACTGCGCCGCCACATAAAGAATACTGGCCACTGATCTCTCAGTACAGACCTTTCTGCGCTAGGTTGGCAAACTGCATTTTTGCCAACCACGGCCTGCAAAACTATGGAAGGTCCAACACTGCAAAAATGAAGAAGAGTTATTACAGATCACCAAAATATTATTTGATACTTGAAAATACAACACTTTCAACAAAGCTACAAAATAATTCCTACATATGCCTTTTTACTATGTGTTGATGGCGTTATGAGGACTTCCTTTGGAAAAATATGTTGCCAACCAAGGCTTCAATTTATGCGCTTACGGCAGCTCATACAAAATGGCGCCAATGTTTGCAAACAAAAGAAAGGCCTATATCAGTGGTACGGTAAAGTGGTTACGTAAAACTATGCTCCGTTAGCAGTTGTCTCCGTATTTGACACTATGAAATACATCTGGCTGGCAAATGTCATTGCCCACAATTGGGACTCTTGTTATTGCTTGCTTCTTCTTCCACGATGCAGCGACGTTGACGAACGACACGTCAGTGAGCCCCTTCCTGGCCGACGGCATGGGCAACGTGTACACTGCCTTCGAAGGGAACGGCTTCTTCTCCCTGGATGATGGCAGCTCGGCCAACCTGGCGCTGTGCGGGGTGCGCTGGACCGACCAGGACGCCGCGGTGTTCTGCCGGCAAAAGGGCCGCCAGCTCTACAGGGTAAGCCAAAAAAGAAAGTGACCTAAATCAACGGGTTTTTTATTTAACTATTTAAAACACCAATGAAGTGTATCTGAAAAGAGCATCTTCTTTTACTCATCTATTTTTTTTTTACTGAAATTGATCCATGCCATCAGAAATTGTGAACATTTTACTAAAAGAACCCATTTTCATAGCTGTCCATGGAATACCATTTGCTGGGTTGTTAGGTCCACGTTTAATTGTACATAATTAATCGTAGAACGCTACACCACCAGTGGTGGACTATTATTTTTAGAAGGCCAAAATTTGTGATCTTTTTTATCAAAATAAACATAACTTGGGAAAAGAGTTTGCAAATTACATGACATTTTCACAGTTAAAACGTAAAAAAAATATGAACTTCATCCCTATTTTATTTATTTTTTTGAAATGGAGCAAACCAAATATTTTTTAAAATTTGATTCACCCTGTACAAGGTGAAACTTTTAGGGCGATGTTTTCTTGTATGATTACCTTTGCAAGTTTTCGTTCATCCATGGAGTTTGGATGACGCGAATGTTTCATTGTATGTTACAGGGTTAACAAATTTACCCAAATAAGCCCTTAAGATTCCCATTAAATATTACCACCAAATTGAAATTACAAAAAAATATCAAATTAAATTGAGTATCAATTAAATTGCTATCAAATTAAATTGAGTACCAGTGCTTAACAAAAAAATGTTGCAAGAATTCGTATTAAGCCCGGTTCATACTTCATGCGAAAGCGAATGCGAAGCAAATTTGACGTCATGAAACATTCGCTGCGAAATTCGCCCGAGTTGAAATGTGTTCAACTTTTACGCACTCGCAGCGCGCATACTTGCCATGACAACACAGATTCGCGTTACGCTTTCGCTTTCGCGCTGAGTATGAACCGGGCTTTATAGTTACTACTTGCGCAAGTTTCAAACTTGCGCGCGCAAATTTTAAAGTTGTGCAAGTAGCAAGTTTGCGCTCGACAGTACTAGTAGTAACGATTGCACGAGGAACAGCGTGCGCGCGAAGGTTTATTAGTCAGACCCTATTTATATCTAACAGTACGTCTAGATTCCAGACTAGCTGCTACAACTCCCCAGTTCATTAGGAATTTTACTGAAAGGTATGCGACAAGGTATGCAATAAAATTCACGACATTGCAAACAAATTCGCATACGTGTGCGCACATATTCGCGAATTGTTTCACGACATCGCATACGTGTGCGCACATATTCGCGATTAATTTCACGACATCGCATACGTGTGCGCATATATTCGCGATAAATTTCGCGACATCGCATACGTGTGCGCACATATTCGCGATAAATTTTGCGACATCGCATACGTGTGCGCACACATTCGCGATAAATTTCGCGACATCGCATACGTATGCGCACACGTTTGCGATATGCGATGTCCCTTCAGGGCCACCATACAAAACCCAGCTGGGCTGGTGAAGTGTGAATTTCGGAATATGAAATACTGATTCACTGGTAGTACATTGCGCATGCATACGGGAGAAATTTGAACGTTCAACCAATGAAACGTTAAAAGGCACCGGATTGCATAGGAGTCCAAGTTTCATGTGACACTGGAAAAGTGTTTAAGACCAGCTAGCCATGTCTTTATCATCCGTTTAAGACTGGCCACGTGACGGGCTCTGGACCAATAGGAATGGCTAAACTGTCTGCGGTATTTATCAATGAAATATTAATTAAAAGTGTTTAGGATAAAGACAGTGTACAAAAGATAAGACACAAAACATGATGACGAAGACAAGAAACATCACACACAAAACACAAAGACCGACAATTATTAATACACTGAATGAAATCCCAACATGCATGTAGCAAAACTCCAGATAAAACAATGAAATCATGAAGACTAAGGATTTAAGGAAGAAGATGAGAATAACGAAGAGAACGAAACTATGTGACATAGCGGGAGATAAGATATCGTTTATAAAAGTGCACTCGCACTTTTTTTTTAATTTGATCACTTTCCTCTTGGTTTACCTTTGATAAGACCTACACCAATTCCTTCTTCGGCGCGCACAACCCTTCCTCGGCCGACGTGCTGGTGGTGACTTTCCCCGTGGATTTCGTGTGCGACGGGACGGAGACTTCGCTGCTTGATTGCCCGGCCAAGAGCACGAACAAAAAAGGGCAGTGTTACGACGGCAACGACGCCAGCCTTGCATGCCTGTTCAGAGAGGGTAGGTCCGTGTGCAAGGGAAAAGCTTGTGTCCCCCCCCCCCCCCTACAAAAATATGGGGACTGGTATCTACAATTCCGGCCAAAATGGTTGGGACACTTCCTGAGCCTGCCACGGTCACCCACTCCCCCGCTCCCCAGTCAATGTTGTTCTCTCCAGCTGATGGAGCACACACCGCGCAATGAGAAACACCATTGAACGGGGGCCGGGGGGCTGGGGGCCCAGCGAGATTTGGCCAGGATTGTAGCTCCCGTTTTTATTAAGGTCTATTAATGAGTACTTGCCTTGTCTCATAAAAGAAATAAATCATGTCTTGCTTACAGAACCAGCAGACTTCGCCGTCCGGCTGGCCGGGAGTTCCGACATCAACGCCGGGCGTGTGGAGGTCAAGCACCAGGGCACCTGGGGCAGCGTGGAGGCCATCGTCGTGGAGCGCAAGCGGGAGTACGGCGACGTGGTCTGCCGGATGCTGGACCTAGGCTTCGCCACCGAGGTCACCCCTCACCGGGACGAGTTCGGGGAGAGCACGCTGCCCGTAGTCGTGGGCGGGGTGGCCTGCACCGGCGCGGAGCCCTCGCTGGCCCAGTGCGGCGAGAACTTGGAGTTCGTAAACGACGTGTTTCAGAACATGACAAGAGATGACACGGTGGTACACTGCTCCGGTCAGATGGAAAAGAGTGAGTGCCTAAACAAAGTGCATTTCACGGCGCTGTTTCATTACTCACGAAAGCTTCAGGGGGAGAAGGGGGTGGCGGGAAGAGGAGATGTTCAAGCAACCTCGTCCCCAGTGCTTACTTTATTTCCAACCTCGTTTCCAATAGTAAGCCCTGGATAGGAAACTGTCTTGCTGTATCCTGATTCGACACCGCAGTTTGCTAGTAATGGATTTATATCCTGTAGTTGGTGTTGTTATTTCCAACGTGCATTACGTGTTTTCACGTTAATTGTAATTTTGACGGCCACGCCTTCTCAAAAATACTCCAGTTTGCTCATATTAATATGAAACGGACGGTTTTGAGATATCATCTTACATTGAAAAAAAAAAAAATTGCCGACGTGCATGGCCACGGCGACACGCGCACAGACCAGAAACTGGAGACTTTTTTTGGCCTTACATCGACGTTTTTCGCTCTGACAAAACTATCTCTAATCTTAGGTTTCTTGTTTGCGACATTTTGTTTGCGTTACAGTGGTCCCCAGCTTGTAGCAATCAACCCTGTCATGTTTTTGCAGTTGACTCTCTTCGTTCGTTCTACGTGTGTCTCTCTCTCAGTTATGAGTTAAGATTGACGTATGCTAAATTATAGTCTTCTTCATTTAAACAATGTCCATAGAATACTTTCTTTAAATGCCATTTTCCCCATGTGTTTTCTCTCTTCAGATACCGAGCCCATCAAGTTAAATGTGCAAAAATGGAACAAAGATTTTGCAGGTATGTGAGCAAGCATTCATTTCAAGAAACAAATAGACCTGAGACCTTATGACGTCGCACTTTGTTTACATGTGCGCTTTCCTATGTGGTAGACGGTCCCTACTTTGTCCGGCGTCCCGACTTCGCTCCCATAAGAAAGCACATATGTAAACAAAGCTGTTACATCATAAGGTCTTAGGTCTATTCAAAGTATAATTACAGTTTTGGTTTGCGGTATGACACCACACTGAAAAATTGCCTTGGTTAATTTTACCAAAGCAAGGGTGAAAACAACTAAGGTTGTTCTATAACTAATTGTTTTGGTAATAATTTATGTTAAATTCAACTAAAAATTGTAGTCATACAAGACCAGATTAAATTTGGTCTTGAATGACCACAAGTTTTGGTTGAATTCAGCAGAATTCTAACCCAAACAATTGGTTATAGAACAACCCAAGTTTATAGTTCCAGTTTTCACCTTTCTTTGGTAAAATTAACCCAGGCAATTTTTTCAGTGCATGAGGTAATAACTACTGTCGCTTAGTAGATTTAGTTCTGATAAGAACAGCTAGTCCGGCTTAGTTCTAAAAAGAACTTGTCTTGCCATCTACTTTCGCTGAGTAGGTTGGAAGGCGGTGGGACTTCTCGCAGTACATTTTTACTGAGGATGAGTGAGAAGTAGGGTGTTACAACTGATAATGTAGTAACCAACGGATAACGTATCACCAACCTATAATGTAACAACCTTTGGCCGATAATATATCACTAACCGATAATATTACGAAATATTGACCGATATTGTAGTAGAATGTACTACACTATCAGTCAGTTGTTGCTACTAACCGATATTGTAACAGAAATTTACTGATAGTGTAGTAATTTTACTACAGCATCGGTCAATCGTTGTTACATTTTCGGTTGGTGACATACATTATTCGTTAGTTACTACATATTAATCACTTGTAACAGAAGGGGCCTGTGTGAGGGGAAGACCAATGTTTTTAAATCCGATCATGAAGTTTTTTCAGTAAAATGTACAGCAAGGGTCTCTTGGAACTTTCCGACTTTTCTTGAGTTGCCAAATAATCCCCGTGGCAGTAAACTCAGAATATATACACAGTTGCTCTGCTTCATTCAGCAGGGATGATCTGATACACGGTACCCTGTGGAGACATGTGTATAGCAAACAAAATAGTGTATACGTCTCCACAGAGCAATGCCTATGGGTCTCCACAAGGTTATCACGAAATAGATATATGGATTTTACTCGGTGTGAATTTCCAAGGTGTGTTGATGTGTCGCAAATTGAAGTATTTTATGTAAGGGGCATTAAGTCCGAATTTCAGCCCAGGAAATTAATTGTGGTTAATATAGGAGCATTTTGAAACTGTACGTTCAAACTCAAAATGTTAGTACACGAGAACAAAGAAATGACTCCACAATGACACACATTTCAGTATCTGTGGTTTTGCCGTTTATGCCCTCGACAGAATAAGGTATAGCCCTACTTGTCTTTTTTTAGGGGGGGATGTAGACAACATTATGTATAGAGCATGTATACTCAACCCCTCGAGCATCGAGCTTTAAAAAAATACGCGATGGAACCAAGTAGAGAATTTCATCACCACATGTGCTTTATTAACCCTGGCATGCCTGTACATGCACAAGATATAGGTCATTCACATGGTCAGGGATTGTTTACAACCTGTTTGGGCTCTGGGCGGCTTGAGTGGTTGACACAAAGGGATCGGCGGCACTTAGGGGTTGGCCACTAAGATATCCAATAACTACACAAAGGCATTAGGCGCCATCTTGGCTTCTATCTTTCAACACTCCTTACTCCGGAGTGGCTAGGGTCTGGCCAATGGGAGTCTACAGGCTTGTGGTGTATAGTAGGGCTGAGGATTACATGGAAACTTGGCCTAATTGGCCCTTTGAACAAAAATATGCCCATATTTGGAAAATGTGAAGCATTTTATCACCGCGTGGCTGCTGCTTTGGGTCATTATTTTTGGTGATTTTTCTTTTTTCTATTGCAGCAATGGGCTTCCTCGTGCAATTCACAAACAAGCGTTGGCATTCGCAGTGCTCGATTGACTGGACGATTGAAAACACCCAAGTCGCATGTCGGGAACTGGGCTACGGTCCCCCAGGAAAAGCAACGGTAAACGGCCATTTGGTTTTTCACGACGCTATTAGCTCCGGAAGAATTCTCCACTCCCAGATTTCCATTTTGAAGTCATTTAATGGACTCCGTACAGGTAGCTCTATAGGGTTGCACCACACCAATTTAAGCCCTATTGAAAACAGTGTAAAAACAACCAAGTTCAGGTGTGTGTTCTTTCAGCAAAACGAAAGCAATTCACACACATCCTTGTGTGATTTGTTTTCTTTTTGCTGAAAGAACACTTAACTTTTTTGTGATCCGTGGACAAAACCTTAAAACTGCGGTTGTGTTTAAAACCCCGTATCTTAAAAAGTACATAAGTGATTTAAATTATTTTTGTACTAAAAGAAAGCTTATGAACTTGGCTTTCATACCTTAGAATTTAAAAGTCCTACATGCAGAACTTCACTTAAACAATTGGCCCGACATTTGGGTTTCGCTTTTTTTTTTACTCACCCTGTACTTCCCTACTGTTGGTCTCCTTAAAAACCATGTTTCTTTTGGGTAATCCAGCGGGAGCTGGTTAATTTTTTTAACTGTGCATGTTTTGTCTAAAATGTTCATGCGTATTTCTGTGAATTTAATGTTACTGTTTGTTGTAACAAATGTATCCCAAAAAAATGAACTAAATGTAAATGTAAACCCTGGTGACTTGTTTGGTTTGTGTCAAAGAATATGTTGTATTATTATATTGTTCCTTCTTTATATAGGAGATCACTTATGACAACAGCATCGACGGGCCGATGTCTGTCTACATCTACAAGTGCAAGGGGACTGAGGACAGGCTGGATCAGTGTGACTACAACATCCGGTCGATTCAAACTTGCAAGCACAAACTCACCGACGTCTACATCGGCTGCACTCACCAATTCGGTCAGTCTAAAAGAAGACAACACTGAAAAATTGCCTGGGTTTAATTTTACCAAAGAAGAGGGTGAAAACTGGAACTGCCCAAACTTGGGTTGTTCTATAACCGATTGGTTAGAATTTCTGCTCAATTCAACCAAAACTTGTGGTTGTTGAAGACCAAATTTAATTTGGACTTGTATGACTTCAAATTTTGGTTGAATTTAACATAAATTATAACCCAAACAATTGGTTATAGAACAACCCAAGTTTGGGTATTTCCAGTTTTTACCCGTTCTTTGGTAAAAATTAACCCAGGCATTTTTTTCTGTGAAGCCAAGGCATGACTTGTAAAGCGTGTGTTGTATCGTAAGGGACATCTCTATAGTCCGACGTCCCATTGGTCCGAAGTGCAATTGGTCCGAAGTACCATTGGTCCCACGTCCCATTGGTCCAAAGTCCCATTGGTCCGACTTCCTATTGGTCCGAAGTACCATTGGTCCGAAATCCCATTGGTCTGACGTCCCAGTAGTCCGACATTCCATTGGTCCGAAGTCACATTGATCCGACGGCCCATTGCTCTATACGTTCCATTGGTATAAACGTCCCATTGGTCCGACGTCCCATTGGTCCGACGTCCCATTGGCCCGAAGTATAGGTCCGGAGTACCCTTGGTCCAACGTCCCATTGGTCCAAAGTCCCATTGGTTCAACTTCCCATTGGTCCGAAGTACAATTGGTCCGAAATCACATTGGTCCAACATCCCAGTAATCCGACATCCCATTGGTCCCAAGTCCCATTGCTCCGAAGTCCCATTGGTCCGACGTCCCATAGGATTAGGGCTAGGGTTGGTTTGGGTAAGGGTTAGGATAATACAGTCAGTCAACCTGAACTAGTGGAACTTCACAGCATTATGTTTCGTCGGACCAATGGGACTTCGGACCTATGGGACGTCCGGTCAATGGGACTTCGGACCAATACTTCAGACTATTGAGATGTAACCGTATCGTAGTAGTACACTTTAATAAATGAGTGATCGAAGCGAATGGCAAACAATGAGAACACCGGCAGTGCCTACAAAACTCAACAAATTTAATTTGATCACGTGTCCCTTTATTTTGGGCAAAATAAGTCCTGTTCGCAAAGATATTGAATAAAGTAGTCCCAACAATTTACATATAAATATTTGTTACAGCTGGTTTCTCAGAGGACACAAATTCAAAATGCAACATCTTTTCGGGCATCTGGTCGACACGCGGACGGGGTTAGCCCGTTCACTGCTGGTGTTATTTTAAACACAACCTAAAAAGGTGTGTGTTCTGTCAGCAAAATGAAAACAAATCACATACATCCCTATGAATTCCTGAAAGAACACTTACCTTTTTTTTGTGATCCGAGGACAGAACTTTAAAACGATGGTTGTCTTTAAAACCCCGTAACTTGCAAAGTACATAAGTGATTTGAATGATTCTTGTACTAAAAGAAAGCTAAATAACTGGGCTTTCATATCCTAGATTTTGATAGTGCTACATGCAGAACTTCATTTAATGAATTGCTCCTGTCATTTGTCTTCCTTTATTTATTGACTCACCCTGCATGTAGAACTCCTTATACCCCTAATCAGTCAGTTGACTGATCGTTGGAAATCACCTATATTTCTTGATTTCTTCTAAATGACGGCAAGCCTGACGAATAATTTCACGGGGTGTTTAGCACCAGTGCAATTTTTAATCCAAGTAAGCGTTTTGATCATTCAATCGGTTACTTTTGGGATAAGTGCTGTGTTATATTTCGAAGTCGTTAAATTTCTATGTTTACTTGCGCAGATGCATATTCGATCTCATTATGGTTTATTTTTCCCTGATGAAACCATTCTATACAGACCAATACGAAGTGCAAATCAACCCGGGTCTGGGCACCTTCTCCAGCGGACCCGTGGAAATATTCTACAACGGGGAGTGGGGCTCTGTTTGCAACGACCAGTGGGGGGTCAGGGATGCCTTCGTGGCCTGCCGCCAGCTGGGTTTCCACTGGGTGGAGGAGCGGGGCTGGGAGCACGACCTGGGCTCCCTGACCGGCAAGAAGTGGCTGAACGAGGTGGAGTGCTTGGGCAACGAGACCTCTCTTCACGACTGCCCGAGCGATAGACTGGCCTTCTACGATCATGACTGCGACACCACATCCTCTGTGGATTGCGGATCGATGAGTAAGTCCAGAGTTATTAGACAAAGTCAAATAATAATTTGGGAGGCTAATCATCCGCTGAATTGCGAAGGACGCGACTACAACGTGGTCGGGCCGCTGGCACGTAAAGGCGCCTATGGCTGCCGGCCACATCGAACCATATATGACAACGGAGCACAGCCTGAGATCGAAAGTGTTTGAATTTGCTGGAGGGAGGAAAACCGGAGGTCCCGGAGAAAAACCCTCGTGGCACAGGAGAGAACCAACGCACAACTCTACTCACATGTGATTCGCAGCCAGGATTCGAATCGTGGTCACCTTGGTGAGAGGCGAGCGCTTTACACACAAGCCACCCATGCCACCCAATAGTCTAGCCTCCTAAGAGACTAGACCCCTGCTTCTACTTCTTCTACTTCTTCTACTTCTTCTACTTCTACGTTGATAATTTGACCTTTCTGCACGAAATGAACATGGCGTTGGGAAATGCCATTTTGTTGTACTGTGTGTATTTTGTCGTACCTCTGTCGATTTTTGTTTTCAGGTGACCCTCAATCTGTACATCCGGCTCGGTGAAGGGCAAAAACCTAATTTGACAAAATACTATACATCGTTGGAAAAAGCTTGTTCCATAGAATCCAGAAATAAAAATATCTCTTGTTTTCGCTAATTTTTTTTGTTTGGTCTTTTTTTCTAATCAAGAACAATAATAAGAACGATACTTTGAATCTTTCAAAACCTCACAAAATTATTATTGGGGGATATTTGGTAGACAGTAGAAAGCTTTTATTTTATCCAAGAGGCTCGAAAAACAGCATCTTTTTAACATGGTAAGAACATGATCTCTGTCACTTGGTTTTTTTCAGGTGGCTACGCTAATGCCCAAGCTGTCATTCAAGACGGTTTGGGTGACGAGGATGTCGCTTCAGAAGGCACGGCCTACCTACAGATCACCCCCGGCGAACGCGTGGCGATCTGCGACCACTCCTGGAACATGGACGCGGCCAACACCTTCTGCCGGCAGCTGGGCAAGCACTCCGCCCTGCGCCTGACAACGGGGTCGTACTACGGCTGGCACCCAGGCTTCAACGGCCCTTTCCCCGTGCGCAAGTGGAACATGGCCTTTGAGTGCAACGGTCGGGAATCCTCCCTGACCGATTGTGTGACCTACGCCAAGCCGGTGAGCGAGTGTCCAGATGGTCGAGACGCGGGCGTGGTATGCAATGAGAGGGAGGGTAAGTTGTGCCTACCTTACCCTTACGAAAAAGTAAGCTTGCCGCAGCTTCTAATAAGCTGGTAATTTGCGAAACTTGACGTATTATAGCTTGCATGAGATTGCAGCTTGCTGCAAGCTTGCAATGCTTGCTCGGATGTTAGGCAAGCTTGCACATTATGTGGAGCTTGCAGCAAGCTTGCGCATGTACTTGAAAGCTTAGGCAATGCACGAGTAATTGCAAGCTTGCTTGTACGCAAACTTACAGGCAAGCAGGCATTTATGTAAGGGTATGAAGCATCTCTCAACTAAGGATGCATGAAACATTCCAAGAGCTTAACTGCAATTGAGCAGTTAAGCAGGGTACTCGTGTTGTGCAAGGGGAGTCAGGTTGGCGCAGCGGTACTGTCCTCATATTTTGCTGCTGTAAACCGGGTTCCAATCACTACCTGATTCCGTGGGTTTCCCTTGAATGTGGCATGGGGCTCTCCTTCCACCTCTAGGACTGTAATTTACTTCCTCATCCCTTACCATGGGTACCTCACTGGAAATACGACCTAAAATACTAAACTCAGTACGCCGGGAACATTCCTTTAATTGAGTGATCAAATTTAAGTTGGGACAAGCTGCAGGGGTCCTCATTTTCTAGCATGGCCAATCACCAATCACAGCTCCAAATATTGCAATGCTTTAATTTGTTTTCCTTCTCCACATTTTGAGCGATAGGGGACACAAGAGGGGGGCGTAGGTCGTGAGCGAAGATTCACACCGTGCATAACAAATTCACAAAATACATGAAATTTAATTCACGAGACTCCAACCGACGACCCCCTGTCAAAACCGGGAGCTCCACAATTTAGAAGCCACTGCAGGCAATTTGATCATTTTTTTTCTTTACTTTATCTAATTTGACATCAAATGAAATCAGCTCCTACAGGCTTCGAGATCAAGCTCGTTGGCGGGACCACGGCATCGGAGGGCCGGGTGGAAGTTTGCTACGGGGGCACGTGCGGGAGTCTGGGCAAGGATATCAGCCTGGAAAGCCCCGCCGATTTCGGGGACGTGGTCTGCCGGGAGCTGAGCCTGGGCTACGCCGTGGAGGTGAGCACCGACGGGCGGTACGGCGCCGGCAAGGACCTGGTCAAGATGAACAGGATCTGGTGCGCCGGGTCGGAGGAGTCCTTGGCACAGTGCGGTCCCCACATCGAGTGGCTGGATAGCACCGACGCCAACCTGAGGGACGAGCTCACTGGAGTTAAGTGCTCAGGACCCATTGATGGTAAGCTAGAGACCTTCATCATGCTGCCACCATTTCAATCATGTTGCCTGTATTTAATAACAGAACTGAATGATAATGTTTTTGTGCAAAAAAGAACCAGACAATTTACCCTTCCAGCCTCGCTTTGGTTATGTTTATTTAAATGGGAAACAAATTAAGATGGCCGCAACATGATCTAAAGCACCTTCCAGCTTTGCCAGATTACTTGACTGGCTTTTTGCCAACAGACTTTTCGTGTGGGAGGGTAGCAAGGAGGTTTTTTTACTGGTCCACCAGCCGCCAAAATCGAAAATCAGGCTGGAGGTAGTGGTGGTGGTTCAAAGGTCTGTTCAAAGTGGACAGGTAAACGATTCTGCTGACCGAAACGAAAAATGGGGAAGTGTGGGTTCAATTCTGACACCATCAGACCCCCTCTAGGGGGCACGTGTAAGCAACAGGGGCACGCAATATCAAATTGCTGCTCAATTTTTTTTCAGAAGCTCACATCTTCGTGGAAGAGATTAATTCACATGACTGCCTTCACAAGTTGATTATATTCGCTTAGAAATAAGAGCCTCACCAAAGTAAATGTTGTACATGTACACTTGTACCCAATTGATTTTTACCTAGTGACTGCCCTGTCTGGCAGAGCCGTGATATTGTGCATTTGAATGGCATTACGTCAATTCCTCTACTAATGATCAGAGGCTTTGTAAGTCTCGTTACGAAGCTTGAACGTACGTGTTGAGTCATGATCAGAACCCAAGTCAAGGTACAGTGCCTTGCTCAGGATTCGAATCCACGTACCACGGCACACGAGTCCAACACCGTAAACATTGGACCACAGCACCCCATTGTAACCTGACTAGAACCCAAATCATGGCCAGAGCCAATTTTAAATTCAAATCTTCTTTGTATCTTTCCGCAGCGGCCAAGAGTCCGATCCGTTTCTCTCAGCTGAACGAAAAAAGTGGCATCGTGGAAATCTTCCACCAGGGCCGCTTCGGGACGATCTGCAACAAAGGTTGGACGTTGAACAACGCCCGAGTCGTCTGCAGGGAGCTCGGCTTCGGCCCTCCTCTGGACGCCCAGGTATTCTCTTAGAACACGTTTTTATCTTTGTTGTTTTGAGTAGTTAGTTTTTTTAATTGATGCTACATTGTAGCATTGTCCGATGTTCTCCAATACCTATGCAGCCACTGTAGGCTTTAGGTGTCAAATTGATCGGTTCCTTCATCAATTAATTTGTCTTTTAAACAGTCACCTAATGTATGAGACGCATTGAGTATCCGTCAGGCAGCATACTGACAACCTCAAGCATTATAAATTGTATACAGTATAAATGTGTAGCACAATAGACTTTCCTGTCCCTGCAAAAAAATATGTAGCAATTAAAAGCTCTGAGTTAAGATCAAGTACTGAAAACTCCTTTATCCGGCTCCGCAATCCTTTTACGCAACGAAATTCTCTAGGGGCGCTTTGCCTTTTCAGAGAAGTTCTCGAAGGTAAGAGCGGACTGAATTTATGCAACATGCAACACTTTACAGTATGTTTGGGGTTTTACTGTGTGGCCCTTTTCTGGTGTGAAGTATCCAGAGATCTCATTAGTTGCATGAACATACATCCATGTCGGAAGTTTTGGAAACACCAATTTTAGTACTCAGTTTTTGAGTCTTGTAATTTCCTTGGTCAACAGCTTGGGCTAGAGGGTTACAAGGGGCCCATCTACTTACAAGACGTCCAGTGTGCGGGAACGGAAGAGACTCTGGATCAGTGCCAGCACAGTGAGTGGTCGGCCCACACCTGTGAACACTCCATGGATGTGTCGGTGCTCTGCCAGAAAGGTAAGCACCCTATCGAGAGATGCTGGTGATGGTGGCCTTATGATATGAGGACTCCTTATGAAATCTGGTCTCTATTAATTACCTTGTGACTATAACCCTCAATTGTCGCACTTCTTTTCATGCTCCCACAGGCATGCGCAATACAATCGAGTCTAAATTTCAAACCAAACTGGCTAGTCTATTTCACGCAAAGAGTTGTGGAAAGTGTTGACCTCATTCATTGTCCAAACATGTTCTGCCAAGTGTCATTCATTTCACAGCATAGGTATTGTAAGGGAAACGGCAAGCCTTCTGGGTCAAGCACGTTGTATCGCTGCGCATGCATTGTGCCTGAAGGCGTTTTATGCATAATCCTAACTCCTTGTGCATTGAACAATCTTCTTATCCTCAAGAATGTGCTACCATGCATAACCCTTTTGGCACAAGTTTCATCTCGGCAAAACTTGTAATATGCATCAAGTCCCCTGCAGTTGCTTCCATAACTCCCGATAAATCATCTTAATCTTCCTGGTCGATTTAACATTATGTGGGGTTTAGGTTGAAGTATATGCACTTGATCATTGATAAACATGTAGTGATGCGGCATATTTTTATGAAATGTTGTCTCACCTACCTTCTGTCCACAGAACAACAAATTCCATCAACACCAGCGCCCACAACCCGTAGCGGAGGCAGTCGATCCGTGGGCTCTGTCACTGTCACACTGCTAACCACCATTGTCGCTGCTGCCGTCAGATTTGCTCTCTAGATCTGCCTGGAACAGATAGAGTCATAGTTGTTGGGATCTAAAAATCACACAAAGGGTGACATACAGATATTATTTCCCCAAAGTGAGTGGAAATGCAACCACGACAATCAAACAGGAAGGGACATAAATCTATCTAGACCAAATGGGCGGGGGCAATAGGCCTGAGACCAAATGAAGTTACGCTTTGTTTACATATATGTACTTTTCTATGTGACAGACGGGCCCTACTTCGTCTGGCGTCCCATTCGCTCCCATAGGCCATTACGTCATTAGGTCTCAGGTCTATTACATATGCTCAATGGGAAAAGAAGATACAACTATGAAGACCCAACAGGAGGGGAATATGCAACTATCATACCTCAACAGGAGGGGAACATGCAACCACAATATTTATTCATAGCCAATTGGGATGTAATAGTAACCATAATGACTATAGGGAGGAGAGTAATATGAAACCACGATGGCCCAAAGAGGAGCGGAACATACAGCTATGGATACCTAACAAGAAATATATAACATTCAACCACATTAATCCTATATTATACTCAAAAGGCAGGGGAAATAGGTGTCCAGAAGGGTAACATAAAATGCAGCCATGAAGTCCAAACAGAAGGGCAGCATACAACTATGATCATGCCCCAAAGGGAGGGAAATAGGCAACCATGTTGACTCAAAGGGAGGGAAATAGGCGACCATGCTGACCAGGAAGCCTAGGGTAACATACAACTTCCACGATGACCAGATGTCAGTGAAACATGGTACAATGCATGGCCAGAAAGTGGTCATCATTGAACGCTGACGATCAAAGAGAAATTGAACACGTACAACTAGCAAATATCAAAAGAAAAGGGTAGCATGCAACAATGATGACCACTAGAAGGGAAAATACAACCATTAAAACCTCAAAGGAGGGGCACCTGCCGATACAGATCAATTAGAAAGAGGCAGGGGTAACAATATTATGTAAAATAATTGAAAAGCGAAAATTACATTATCTCAGCATAGTTTACTTTATGTAATGGTTTAGGACTCGCATGATCGCATTACATGTTTCGACTAGGAAATATCGGTCTATTTAATATATGTTGAACGCCTGTGTTCATATCGTGATTCTGTACGTAATCACCAATCACGAATCTTTCTTTCACCTATGTATTAAGAGAAGAAAAGATTTATGTTGTCTTAGCTGGTTACTTATATTGTGGATGAAATGATTTGAAGGCATATTGGAACCATTTTAGAGGCAACTTCTTTATTGATGACGTTTTGAAATTTGAATGGACCATCAAAATTAGTTTTGTATACATCTAAAATTATGCATGCATGCAACAATGCAAAGCCATTGCGCGAAGGTTGTGAAATATATATTCAATGATGTACAATAACTAACTAATTATTTTTGTTTAAACTTTATCATTTGTAGCAGAGATTCCCATACAGTCCAAAACTGATTTAATTCAATATGAATAGGTATTATTGTTGAAAAAATATATATATCTTACTAATAAAATGAATGCATAGTATGGTCACTCTGTCTGCTGTCAATCAACACTGAAGTGATGAAGAAAAAAATGAAAACTACATCTAAGGATCCCCCTTTTTTTTTAGTAGGGAGTAGGATTGGGGGTGGGTGGTAATATTACTTGGACAAATAACTTACGTTGTTTTAGTGAGATTCCGACTAATTGAACCAATTAATCAATCTTATTGAGACGAGTGGCTACGGCCACGGCTTCGGACGTCAAGTGGGGATTGTGATGGCCCGCGGTTGATCTTGAGCGTTCGATTAGTTTCGAAAAATAATTTATCCAGTACGAGTTGCCTCTTGGTGGCGCTATGCACGTTTGATTCGATTGATGGCGCTATAACCTAGCCAGTTCGGAAATTAATATGCTTCTTCTTTCATAACACTTCTCAATTTATTGTTTTCAAATCTTGAAAAGATAATCTAAAATACCGAGACATTTAGAAATCATAAAAAAATCATGAAACTCATATTCAACCTCGTTCCCATTGTGTCGCAGCAGTACGCTCCCACTACCTGCTTCCCTCTTACCCTGGTATTGGATCATTTGCATGTTCAGAAATCTTCTTCACGTATGCAAACTAGGGAAAAGTCTGGTGCCTGGTGCTGCCTTAAATCAGTTGGGGTGAATGCGGTGTCTGGGATTAAAACAGAATCAATTTGTCGCGGCGTGAGATCCTAGAACACAAAGTTAAAATGTTACCATCGTATCCAGCCAATATGCACGGAACACGTCACACATTTAATGTCAGCTAACTGGAAAGGGGGAACCGGTGTCATATGAAAATCGGACTCTTTTTCCCTTTTATTGGTCAAACCCTCTCACGTAACCGGTCCCTCTCCTAATTATCTATGCATGAGCATGCGCAATACCTCAAATAAGTCCGTATTTCATAAAACCTAACTTCATGCTACATCGGCCTTATTCACGAGTCGGCCACTGAATTGAAAGTGAGAAAAAAATCTTCTTTTTTGGAACCTGCGAAGACAAATGAAAAAAAGTACTAAATATTTCAAGTCTGCTTAAGTGAATAATTTTAAATTTGTAATTAAACTGTTCCTAAAGTTTTAAGCCAGATTTAAAAAAAAAAACCGAAAGTAAAATAAGGCTGCATAAATAGTATGGCGCCATCCCATTCAACAGTTAACAATTTATGAAATACATTTAGGGAACACGACAAAAATGGCTACCCGTACCTCGTTAATAAGGTCCATTGTTTGTTAGGTGGATTGGACTTAATAGTTCACAATGATATAGTTGAAATGCGTAAAACAGGTGCGAAATGAAAACACCAAGTACACGATACCAATCCATTACTTGCTATTGATGCATTGAATCATGATAAAAGTCAATTTCCCATCTGGGAGTTTCTTTTTTAAACGAGGTTGAAAATATAGTAGCCCTCGGGACGAGGTTGAATCATATTTTGATCTAGCGCCCTCTCGAAACGAGCGGTCCCTGGATGAATCACAATTGCGCCCTCTGCCACGCGACTCCCCTGCTCACCGACCACGAACGTTCAGAGTGTGAATCAGAAACGACTTCATCTTGATTCTTGAGATCTCTCGTTTTTTGATAACCCTGCTTAAAACATTGCTTAATTGGAATCTTGTGAACATCATTACACAGTCTTTTAAAAACATACCTGTCAACAAATACGAGTATACTTCCTCTGATCACAAAGCAATAAAACGGCAACAAATAGGCAACATATTGTAACAAAATATTATTAACGAGTGAAAGATAAAAAACCCATGTCCCTCCAAAGTTAACAGAAAAATACAGCTATGAAAAGCCTTTCCTTAGTCACTTTACTTTGCACACAACGTGAGCTGGAGAGAGGAGACAGCTGAAGTCTTTTACGATTGAATCTACTACTCAATTTATCCAATATAGGAGCCGGAGCCAAAAGCGAGGTGTCCTGCCTCCTCAGAGAGAGAAACCAGTCTCTGGATAATGTGAAAACCTCGCGATGTTTGTAAGGTAAGGGCAGAGGGCGCACTTTTCAAAGCCAATTTCATATCTCGGGAGTAACATTTGGAGGCCTTTGAACAGCATTCCACTGAACGGCTGAGAGGAGTTATGTTTTCCTCAGTCCTCTTACAAACACAGGAATGTTTAGCTCTGCTGGTGTGCATTAAGGACTTTTTCTCGATATTGTTTCTTTTTTGGTCTCGGGATTATTTGTGGAGCGCTGTGGTCCAATGGTTACGGTGTTCGACTCACACGCAGTGGTACGTGGCTTCGAACCCTGACGGGGGACAGGGTACTTTGTGTTCTTGGGCATGACACTTTACTACAATTGCCTCTCTCCATCACCCAGGAGTATAAATGGGTACAGGTTGCGCTGAGCGCTGATCTCGAATTGCTGCAAAAAAACATTGTAATCATTGTGAAGAGCTTTGGCACCTTTGGTATAAAGCACCATATTAGTAGGGCTACCACATTTTGTATTATTACAAGCACTATCACATCTGCATTCAACTGGGAAAAGGACAAATAGTTTCTTGCAAGGGCCTGTCATTCACGTATACGTTATCATATCCCATAACAGACTGAAGTTTTGGAATGCACACCATGCCTGCAGTTTAAATTGCAACTCTGTCTTCCAACGGTCCAGGCAAGCTAAAGGCATTTTAACGGCCAGTGGCGTAAATCGTTGTCGGCGAGTGGGGGCGGATGACAAAAATCGTAAAATTGCCCAGCCGTCGAAATTCGAAAAGTAGAGGGAGGTCCGACACAGGGGGCGCTGTTCATGATACATTTGTACATCTCATGCAAACTAGAGGGCTTTATGCTTAACCTTACATCAAAACAGTGCAGCATTTAAAGCTTTTCTACAATGATTGTGTTCTCCATTGTTTTCAGTGCTTTATAATACATTTGGGCTATTGGAAAGTTAGAAAACAACCTTAACATCGGCATTTCTTATTTCACACTACAAAAGTTTGGGGATGATCCAACGCCCCCACCCTGTCCAAGGTGTGTGGGTGATATATCCTCCCCATTCCCCGGAATTTTCGTCTATGTTAACGGCTATGCGAAGCACGTTTTCTGCCTATACGATCATTATTTTAGCTTTTAGGCCTATGGCCATAGCAAACAAATTCTGCAATTATGACAGCAGAGACTACTTTTGTCTAGGGATGTACGCACGCGCGTGTGCCAATGTTAAAGGGGCACTACGATCCTGGCCGAATCTCGCTGGGCCCCTACCCTCCCCCTGGCCCCCGTTCAATGTTGTCTCTCATTGTGCGGTGTGTGCTCCATCAGCTGGAGAGAACAACATTGGCCGGGGCAGCGGGGGAGTGGGTGACTGTTGCTAGGCTCAGGAAGTGTCCCAATCATTTTGGCCGGGATTGTAGACTGTTTCCCGGCCCCACCTGAATATATATTTTCAAGTCCAAAGGACAATGGGGTCAGAGAACCAGACTAGCCTGCACCCTTTAAAAAGCTACTGTAACAGCAGCTTTAATTATGTCTTTATGTTTAGGGCATGATAAGTTACCAATGCCATCCCTACTTCCTTAACAAGATTCTGTGACGCTCATCATCCTAGCTGATGTTTGATTACAGCCTGGTGAAGGACTTTTAGGAACAGCGAACGGAATAGGCATAGAGGCCTGATTAACAGTGTTACCAAACAAATCTGTAAAAACAAATTGTCGTTTCTTTTTTTCTCAAAACGTCCTTATTT